GGTCTTTTCCCCATCTGAGGACCGATCCTCACCCCTTTGCGTAACTCGAGTCCTACCCGAATCGGTGCAGAAGCTCTGGAGGATGACTTTTAAGTAACATGGGGGTCTGGAGGAAGGTTATGGGGGTGTCTGTACCCCACAGCAAGCGAGCAGGGACTGTGGGGACCGATGAGGAGCCCCTTTGTTTTGCGGCCCGAAGGCAGCGGGGACGGCGCCGGGCTACGCTGGTGCTGGTGCTCTCTTAGCAACATGTGCCCGGCTCTCTCTGCGGCGTCAGCCTGGGAATAACCTCTCCGAGCGCTCGTTAGTGCTCCCCTCCCTGCTTTTTTTGCACTTGAGAGGATGTTGTGTTTTGTTGTTTTTTTTTTACTCGGTATTAAACCTGCTGCACGAATTCCCTTCGCGCTGTTTGCGGTGGAGTTCAGGCGTGCGGTTGTGAGCGTCTTGAGGGGGGGGATGCTTGCAAAGGGGACAGTGAGGGTTTGGGCTCTTCGTCGCAGCGTTTGCACAAATGTTGGTTCAGAAATGCTGCAGATGCAGCACAGCCCCGTTTTTTTCCCTGCTTCTCCAAGCATCCCCTTGCAGCAGAGCGAGCCCGGGGGTCTCCCATCCCATCTCATCCCTTCCCTCGGTGCCAGGGCTGGTAATTACAGGCTGTGCTGCTCTGGGCTTGTGTTCCCTTCCAGGAGCAAAAGTAGCCTGGATGAATAATAATAACACACCTAGCGATGATTGCATCTACAGCTCTGTGTGTGTGTGTGTGTGTCTGCAGTGCATTGGGCCCAATTATGCACAGATTTGGGTTGGTTTGTGGGTTCCGGGTTGGTTTCTTTGTCTGGTGAAGGTTGCAGGGCTGGTCCCGTGCTCGCTTGGTATCTTCAGCTCCACCAGCAACTGTCTGGGGTGGGGTAGGGGGCAGCCGAATTGCTTTGCCTTTGAGCAGCAGGTGGATTAGCAACAGAAGAAGTACCGTTAGATTTTCATGCTAGTTTGATTGTTTCTGGGATTTTTTTTTGGAGAGGGAATCTACTAAAACTAGTTGTGAAAGTCAAGCTGAACACCAATGAGGTGTGTGGTCAGGCACAGGATCTACTGGGAATCTATGGATCCACAATTTCCATCCTGGCATCCTCCAAGCGCTCGTGAGGAAGAGTGGCGAGTTGCGCTGTAAAACAGCAACTTTATTGTCTAAACTTCAAGCAGTCCATAAAAGCAGCGCAGGGTTTAAGTTTATGCCAGGTTTAAGGACCATTAGAGCCAAACTGGGGCAGGTTGGCATAGAGAGATGCTGCGCAAGGTGCGACAGGTAGAAGGTGTAATAGGTAGAAGGTGCTCAGTCATTCAGAGCGGGAATATGACAACGTGCGATGCCTAATTTGGGTCTCAAACTTCTGAATGCAGCCGGTTTGCCGCAGGAAGCCGCCGTTAGGATTTCAGTGATTTGTGGAATTGAAACAAATGTCCTTGGGTCAAGACTTTTGTGGGGGGAGCTGCATATGCAGACACTGGAGACTTTACAGCTTATCTTTCCCTCCGCCACGAGTTTAAAATCCAGGAGACAATGCAGGGGAAAAAGAAATGCTTTCCTAGGCTGTGCGTCTCCATCAGCTTGGAACAAAACAGGCTCTGAATGTGGAAGTTGAACATGACTGTGATTGTAGGATGTGGTTTATAAAAGTGATCCATTTGCAGACCGATGCAATGGCTTTTCAAGAAGTTTTTTTGTGTGGAGTCTATTAGCAGTCATTTCACTTCCCCCCTGTGCTCAGGTTTCTAATAAAAGTATTTTTCAGGGGAAAAAAAAATAAAGAATCTACGTGATCATTAAAAGAATTCTTTTGTATTTTTAAGAGTGATATCCTGAATGAGAAATGCCATGATTAAAAAGGTGTGAGGAGGGGAAAAAGTGAATTCTTGCATGCTGCAGACAAGGGCTCCACCATCCCGGCAGCCTGCATTGCTGAGAGCCCTGCTCAAACCCGGGCATTTACCGAACCCATCCAAAGCTGCCAAAATGCCTTGTGCGCCGCTGAAGTCACAGATGAGTAATCTTGGCAAGGAGGCGTCGGGACGCATTCTTGCACAACAAACACAAGTGAGGGAGAAAGAGAAGGTAAAAGTGAACCTGAAGGAGTTCCCAGAGGGAAAACCAGCCCTCCCGCACTGCGAGCGCAGTGTTGGCCGTTGGTCACCTCCTCTGTTCCTAACAAGTGTTTGCTGACCTAAAGCCCTTGCAGTGGGGCCGGAGGATGTGGGAGGGCTGAGAAACTTGTTTGAAATCCCTCGAGTTTTTGGGACACCTCTGGAGGGCTTCAGGGGCTGCTTTTGGGAAAGGAGAGAAACTCCTATCTACAGTTTTTGTCAGATAGGACTCGGAGGAAGAGCCCCAGGGCACTGAAGCCGCATTGTGGGCAGAGGTTGTGTGGCTGGGCAGCTGCGGTTTTGTTGGGTTTTGGACAAATTCAGCTGAGCTTTGATGATATTGATTTACAAAGAGCATCGTGATTTAATCCCCCGCTACTGTAAACGGTGCTGAAGTCCCCTCTGCTGTCACAGACGGATGGCAAACATTCCTCATCCCTCGGTTTTGGGTTTATTTCCTCCATGGGGTCTCGTGTGTGGATGGAGCAGTTGCATTAACACATCTCTGCTCCTCTGCAGAATCTCAATTACATTTCCTGATATACAGTCCATGACTTAATGGATGACGCACTTGTTAAAAGCTAAGCCTGGGTCTAAGCCAGACCTCCCTGAAACAAGTTTGGTGGCTCCTACCCTCAGGAAGGAGGTTTTGTAGCCTCTCTGCTGAATCTTAAGTGCTGATATTTAAGCCCCATGGGACATGCAGAGCCATTACCCATTGGAGGTGGAACTGGGTGCCACAGGGTCCCCAGGGGAAGGTGCTGGGACTTCCGACCGAAGGTGTTGTGGAGGCACCCAACTGGTCCTGCTCCATCTCAGCCTTTTGGTAGTTGCATTAACAGGGGCAGATGAGGGTTGTTATAAGGTTTTTATAAGGTTTAATTTGCTTCCTATGACTTGAGCCTAATGTGAGTGGGAAAACTGCACAGATCTTAATGAATTTATTTAAAGGGGAATTGATGCAGCCGTTACTCCTGCCGTTTGCAGAGGATACACAACTCCTTTTTTTAGCTTAATTAAAAAAAAAGAAAGCTGTATGTGATGTAACTTCATGGAAATGCCTGATACTTGCATTTCCCAAGTTTATTGCTTTTCTCAGTACACGTCGCCTTCCCTTTTCCATGCTCCCTTGTTTGCCGTAGGTAAAACCATCCAGGAGACGCACATCATATGTCACTAAAAACTGCTTCAGTATTTATATTTGAGCAGATGGATGTTGCCACTAATTGTTTGTTTCAAAATAAACAGAAAGGACGGTTGTAAATGTTAATCTGAGTCTTTGCATGTCCAGCTTTAAAGTGAATATTGCTTAGAGACTTGTGTGACGTGATCACTTCAGTGCTTTCCCTTGGGAAGAGCGATGCTGTCTTTGTAGCCATGATATCACTCCTGTCATTAAGAATAAGGAAAATTCCCACATTTTACTTGATTCTTTCAGGTTTGATTCCTTCTCCTTTTCCTCCAGGATCTAATACGACGTTTCTCTTTCTCTTGCAGACCATGCCCTCTCTATGACGGTTACTTGTTAAGCTAACTCTGCATGCCAGAAGACTGTCCTTGGTTGATCCAAGGGCTTTTGGGGACTCCGGCCTCTCCCCGGTTTTTCTGTGTGTGTGTGTTCCTCTAGAACTTTCAAAACTGTTTCTCCAAAGGGTTTTGCAGAAACTTAGACTGTTTTCTAAAGCAGAAGCACCTCAGTCCACAGCAGTAGTGATGGGCAGCGTGCGAACCAACCGCTACAGCATCGTGTCTTCAGAGGAGGACGGCATGAAGCTGGCAACCATGGCCGTTGCCAACGGCTTTGGGAATGGAAAGAGTAAGGTACACACCAGACAGCAGTGCAGGAGCCGCTTTGTCAAGAAAGACGGCCACTGCAACGTGCAGTTCATTAACGTGGGCGAGAAGGGACAGCGATACCTGGCAGACATCTTCACCACGTGCGTGGACATCCGCTGGAGGTGGATGCTAGTTATCTTCTGCCTGACTTTCATCCTCTCCTGGCTTTTTTTTGGCTGTGTGTTTTGGTTGATTGCGCTGTTGCACGGGGACCTGGAGAATCAAGAAAATAACAAACCTTGCGTCTCTCAAGTGAGCAGCTTCACCGCAGCCTTTCTGTTCTCCATCGAGACCCAGACCACGATCGGCTATGGCTTCAGGTGCGTCACAGACGAGTGCCCCATCGCCGTTTTCATGGTGGTTTTCCAGTCTATAGTCGGCTGCATCATTGACGCCTTCATCATTGGTGCTGTCATGGCAAAGATGGCGAAGCCAAAAAAGAGGAATGAAACTCTGGTCTTCAGCCACAATGCCGTGGTGGCCATGAGAGACGGGAAACTGTGCCTGATGTGGCGCGTTGGAAACCTGAGGAAAAGCCACTTGGTGGAGGCACACGTGCGAGCGCAGCTCCTCAAATCCAGGATCACGTCGGAAGGGGAGTACATCCCTTTGGATCAGATAGACATCAACGTAGGGTTTGACAGCGGGATAGACCGCATATTCCTGGTCTCCCCGATTACAATAGTACACGAAATAGATGAAGACAGTCCTTTGTATGACTTGAGCAAACAAGACATGGACAATGCTGACTTTGAAATTGTAGTAATATTAGAGGGCATGGTGGAAGCTACCGCCATGACCACCCAGTGCCGTAGCTCATATCTGGCAAACGAAATCCTCTGGGGCCACCGCTACGAGCCCGTACTCTTCGAAGAGAAAAACTACTACAAAGTGGACTACTCGAGGTTCCACAAAACATACGAAGTGCCCAACACACCCATCTGCAGTGCCAGAGACTTAGCAGAAAAGAAATACATTCTCTCGAACGCAAACTCCTTTTGCTACGAGAACGAAGTGGCCCTCACCAGCAAAGAGGAGGACGAGATTGACACGGGGGTGCCTGAGAGCATGAGCACAGACACCCACCCCGACATGGACCACCACAACCAAGCAGGGGTGCCTCTAGAGCCACGGCCGCTCCGGCGGGAGTCGGAAATATGACTGACAAAACTCTTCCTCTCCCTTTTGGTTGAAAGGAAAACCGTAAAAACAAATAGAAATCTATCGGTCAAAGGCACGTTGACCTGAGAAGTTGGCCCAGAACAGACGACGGTACTGGTGAAGAGTGGCGCGAAGGCAAAGCAGACCTGAGAAACCCAGGCTGGTTTTAGGGCTGTCTTCAGAGGAGGGACGACAGAGAATGAACTCTAAACACAAAGCACTAAACATGTCTAAGTATGAACAGAAGGCACATATGTTGTAGAATAAATTATGTATATATTTTTTTACAAAACTTGAACTTGCAGGCAAGCTTTGGTTGGGTTATTATTATTTTTTTTTTTTTGTCAACTTTTTCCAGAATGCTTCTCTCTAGGGAACAAGAATGTTTTTAAATGGCATAACAAAGGCAAGAATCTGCCTTATTATTATTATTATAATTATTTTTTAAAAAGCTGCTGCTAACTACATGAACACAAAGGGTTATTTTTGTTGCAGTGTAGTTTTTATTTTTTCTCTTGTGTAATTTAAAAAAGAAAAAAAAAAAAAGGAAAAAAAGAAGTCAGTGTTGAACTTTTTGGGTTGGAAAAAAAAAAGCTCGTGATCACTTCAGAGAGGCTGATGTTGCCAGAAAGTCTAAACTCCTTTTGAGGCCAGTAGTTTGATAGCTCGAATCAATGTCTCTCTTTCCAATTACATAAGGGGCATTATGTAAAGTCAGGCCAATCAGTAGCCTCCAGCGAAATTCTCATATTTTTTTGGGGGGAGGTGGGGGGGAAGGGAGAATTTAATTCTCTAAAGGAAAAATGAGATGAGATAGAGATATATATATAAAGATATTTACATAGAAAAAGTACTAAGTTAAAACTACCTAAGTGGATACCAAAGAAAATGCACAGTTTTGCACAGCAGAGTTTATTTAAAAAGAAAAAAAAACGAAAAAAAAAATAGAAAAGAAAAAAAAGGAACAGGCTGCTTTAAACAAAAAAAAATTCAAACCTCAGACACTTTTTTTTGGTTTATTTTTTCCTTTTTTTTTTAGTTTTCCTTTTCTTTCTGAGACCTTTATTTTGCACCTTATTCTAAAAGCTTCTGAGTTGGATCTAAAGCGAGCTAGGACTCCTCCCCTTTCCCCCCCACCTGCTTTTCTATAGGGAAATAAATTCCCTTCCCTCCTTGTAAGGAGAAAGGCAGTTGGGGAAGAGCAACCAAGCCAACATCTGTCCTCCCCATTTGCTCGCCGGGCCGGGCTGCAGCAGAAGGTCAAGGGTTTGTCCATGCATTTCCAACCCAGCGCTAGACCTCGGCACTGGCCCGGCCTCCCAAAAACTGAGCCATCCTCTGTGCCGCTGGCGTCTGACCCGAGCCCCTTGGCTGCCTTTGGGTTGCCCGTTCAACATTCAATGTTGGCAGAGAGTGGTGACACCAATCGATGCCAGGGGTTGACATTGCTGGTGCAGGTGTTCAGGCACAGGTAGATAAATCGCAAGAGAATCAATGTTGGCAGACAGTGGTGACACCAATCAATGCCAGGGGTTGACATTGCTGGTGCAGGCGTTCAGGCACAGGTAGATAAATCGCAAGAGATAAATCCCCAAGGAAGAGGGGTTTTTTTTGAAGGGAAAGGGTAATGGAGAGGAAAACAACAACTTTTACAACACAGCACTTGGGAATGACGTAGGGTTGTGGCATTTTGTAAGAAATGCTTCTCTTCGGCAGGGCGAGGGTGTCAGGATAAAAGGGTATTTTCCAGCTCATTTGGAGAGGGATGGTTTGGGGAGGATGAGGCTGCAAAGCAAGGTCCATCTCCTGCCTCCTCTCCCCGGCAAACCCCAACTGAGTGGTCAATGGACGAGACTCGGCACCGAGCTCCGAGCAGCTTTTGTCACCTCCTGTGAAGCTCTGGCTCTGGCGGTATTTTGGCTCCTTCACCCAGAAGGCTTTAAATTCTGTGTGCCTCTAAGATCGAGGAGACAGTGAAGCTGCACTTGACGCCAGCTCCTTGAGCAGGCAGAGAGGGGTGGTGGTGGGGACCATAATCCCGGTCAGCTCTTGCAGTATTGGATCACTGTATGCCATTAAAAAACAGCTTGTTCTAGGTCTAACGTCTTCTGCTAATCGAGATCTGTGAAGGCCTCTGGCCCCTTCCAGCCCTGCCTGAAAGAAATGCCTGCAATGAAATGGTTTCTGCTAAGATGCTATCTGCAGTGGGTGGGCTCGAAACTGTGGATAATTCGACTTTATGAACGTGGATTTGGCTACCGGAGAGGGCAGATGATTTAAGCACAAGTCCTGAGGCTGTTGCTGGGGTGGGGGGGGACGTGAGAGAAAGGAAAGGTTGAACACGTAAAGGTGATTGCAGTGTCTGGGTCAACAGTGGTGATGACAACTGAGTGCTGCTAGTGCTGCTATTGCGATATGTTCTTGTAAAAGGAAAATAACTAAACCAAAGAGTATTCGGTGAAACGGAGGGCGCATGGATACGCAAAGGGGAAGGGATGGAAAAGGGAGGTTGGCCGGGAGAAAGGGGACCTGTTCTCCAAGTCAGCATCCCCCAGGTGCACAGTGCTCCACCAAATGATACTTGAGGTGTTCGAGGGAAGGATGAGAGATGGGGGACGGGGAAATGCTGGATTCAGCTTGTTTCTTTAAAGGAAAAAAAAAAAATCCCCTCCCTCTTAACATTTCTGGTGCAGAGGTTTTGGGTTTTTTTGTTTCGTTTTGTTTTTTGTTTTTCCAAGTCAGTTTTTCAGAACTATTTTTTAAAAAAAATGTACATTTTATAAAGTTTATCAAGTATTTTCGTATTTAAAGCCAAATGTAAATAGAAGTCTGTAAAGGAGGACAAGGAGAAGAAGAAAAAGGCCACAAAAAGTATAAATTCTGCTCGGCAGTCTCGGCTAGCTAGTACCTAGATGCTACTGGTTAGCATGATTTTTAGCAAATACTTGCAAGCCTTATAGGATTCCTAATGCTATGAACGTCTCTTTATTTATTTTTAAGCATGGACTTTTAATTCGAAGACATGTTCTTGTTCCTGGCCTTTTCAAAAGTTACCAGCTTTCCGAACACTAATCTTGTCGAGAGGGTGCATTGAGGTAATCCATTACACTCTCTGCCGTGATCTTTTTTCTTGATTTTTTCTTTCTCTTTTTTTTAATAACCCTTTGTCTTTGCCCATTGACTCCTACATTGCAGAATTGCACTCGGCCTCTGGCGCCAGGAAGCTGCTAGAAAGAGCCCTGCAATGTTCACTCCATGGTACCCTTCCCCTTGGCCATCGTTTCTGTGTGTCTCAACAGGCCGTGGTAGGCCCAGCACAGGGCAGGCTATGGTAGCACGCTTCTACAGCAGCAAATTGGGTTGGCCTTTTTTAAAAAATGTGGTTATTTTTAAGGGCTGACAGCGTTTCTTCAGTTCCTTGATCCTGGGCCAAGCTGATGCTGAATTTGGGACCCTTTAAACTGACCGAGCTCTACCCGCTGACTGCGATAGGCGTCGTTTCGGCCTCTTTATTGAGGATCAAGCTGGCCCAACTGGCTCACACAGAAGGGTTATACTGTATTTCGCTAAGGGTCTTGGGGGGGAATATGTTATTTCTGCCCTTCCCTGAAAATACTTGAATGAGACACATTGTCTGAAACCACAAAATACTGCGTACAGTGACAAAAGGCATTGCCGAGGCCGGTGGGGACGGATCTCTTCTTTCCTCTGTCTCTTCCGTGCGAGGTGGCCTCGGTTAAGTAGCAAGGGTAGCAATCATTACTCATTAGCGTGTTTAACGATGATGCTCTCTCTCTCCCAGCCACCATATTGTTGGTTTAGCACTCGCGCTCTTCTCGGGAAAGGCAAAGGGTCCAGATGTTTTCTTTGTTCTCTTAGGTCTATCTTTCTTTTCAGAATGGATTACAAGGTAAAACTGAGAAGTACTGTAATGTCTTTAAATTATGGCTGCTCGCGACCATTGTAAAGCAGAAGGGTGCTGCATAGTTGCCATCCCACAGCCAACGAGAAACTGAGTTTTGTAATGACTTCTGGCCCGCAGCTATTATAAGGTGAACAATTTAGGCATCTGACAGTTGTCCATTACTATTTTCCTGTTTGCAGCCTTTTTGTATCAAAGTCTTCCTAATGTACTGCACAAATTGTGGATTGTACAGATTTTTATATATTATGTCTTATTTTATTATTTCTAAATAAATAAGAAAAAAAAATGGAGAATGAACTGCTGTGTGCTGCAAATGAATGGGGGAGATGGGTCTGGAGGTTATTTTACAGCCGTGTTTATGGCTGGCTGAGCACCGTCATTGTCTGGAGCACTTTAGGAAGAGATGTTCTCTCCCTTGACAAAAGGCAGGAGGGAAGGTGATACCCTCATTATTGTCTTTATTTCCCAAACACGGTGCAGTGCAAGGCAACTTTCATCAAAAGGAGATCTTCCCCAGAGAGACTTTATTAAGGCCATACCTGGAACTGCATCATTAACTGCAAGTTGTAGGAAAGGGAAAAAAATAAGCTCAAAATCCGCATAAAATGCAAAGCAAGGGAAGGTTGGGGCGAGGGGGGAGGGATGGAAACACCAAGCTTAAGCAAGCACACTAAAAGATTTGGAAAGGGATTAAAAAAATGTAAGCAGGAAACTCATCTTCAAATCCCCATGTTTGGTGCCTGCCTTAACGAGGGGATGCTCCTCGGCTCGGCTCCAAATGCTCGCTGTCATCTCCATCAGGCACCTTGGATTTTCAGTGTCCTGAGCCCAGTGTCACAGCGTGGAGCTGGGGTTTTGTGTAAGGGGACGGGGATGGACCTTGAGGAACTGAAGTGAGACCTTATGCCCTTATTTGTCTGGGTTGGGGAGCTCCTTTCCCGTTGTTTGTGTGTGGCCTCTGGGGCAGATATTGAGGCTGCAGGACCGTGACTCAGCTGGAAACTGCTGATCCAACCAGAATCAAACCCGCTGCGAAGGCTGAGGACGGCGCTGAAGCATTTCAACACAGCTTTGACCCCTCTGCTCATTTTTCCAGCTATTTGTCAGCCTGTAATGCTATTAAACGATGCCTGGGATGGAGCCCTGACCCTATCTTAGAGTACTCCATTTATAAATTCAAATTTACTCTTCAAATCTAATGGTCTCTTGGAAAGCTTATAATAATAATAATTACAAGGCTGGATTTAGAGATACAGATTAGCTGTCACAGCCTGGATCTGCTTATTCTCCATCCCGAAAAGCATCCTCTGTGGGAGCCGTGCTCCTATCTGACCCTGGCTTTGATGTTTGCTCCGGGGCCACTGCCTGCATATTCTGCATACGCTCCCCATTGCCTAAATCGTTAGCACCCTCTCCTGTCAGTGGCTTTCCCTTCTCTTGCCGGCCACTTGGCCGGTCAGGTGGAGTCAGCACAAATATAGCGACAGACAGCGTGTTTTGGGGGACAGCTTCTTCCCATCCGAGCTGGATGCATCCAGAGAGCATCACACATGTGGTGCAGGACACAAACACGCGCTACCCAAATGTAGGTGGCACAAGGAAAAAAGATGCCACAACATTGCACCATGGGTGTTCGCATGCCAAAAAGAGCAGGAGCCAGCAATGCTGTCAAATCACAGTTTTGAATCCACAATCACAGCGCTTGTGGATCTATTTGACGTGGCGAGCTCATGCTGAGGACTGCAGGTTTCGCTGGGGTGCAGAAATGTGTAATAACGTTTAAATAAATGGTTGGTCTTTCAAAACGTTTAAATTAAACTTGTGACTTGAGCCTTGTTTCATGGCTGTGGGTTCCTGGCAGGTGGAAATGACCGCGCAGCGAAGGTTTCGGGTGGGATGTGCACTCTGGGATTCACACCCAGCCTGTCTGGATTAGTGCATTCGTCCCAGTAGAAGGGCATGCTCAGGATGGGGCTGTCAGATTTATAGGGGGTTCCAGTGCA